ATACATCTTGAACTTGGACCATTACAAAGGCAAACAAAACACTGATTAGACAGTGAAAAAACCTTATAAGTAAACACATAACAAATATATACCTGAACCCCATAGGAGAATGAAATGGAACAGGTTGATAAATATTCCCACTTCCATATTGTGGAGGTACTGAAGGAGACTCAAAGTTCAAGCTTTCTTGTATGGCTCTGGCAAGTTGTTCATCTTCCTCCAGATGAGATTCATTGTCCACAGAAGAATCTGAGAAAAGATTTGAATTATGATACTTGAATCAGTAAAGATAACCGAAGAGGAAAACAGCTTATAAGAATATAATGAGAAAGCTCATATCATGTATTCCAGTAAAGGTGGATACCAAGTATCTCACCTGTTTCACTTCTCCTCCCTTGGTTTTCTTCTAAGAGTGATAATGCAATAGCACGGTCTATATCTTCATTTTCCATCTCTCCCCATGCATCCTAAGGCCAGGGCATAATGAGATATGACTCAACAAATTCCCACCCAGCAGCACGAGGGTAGAACACAATCGCGCAGAAACAGAGAAATAGCAAGATAAAAAGTGACATGAAGTGGTATATGTAGATACCCCTGAAGTAGAAGGTCCATAATTTGGGTCCTCTCCATAACCCCCATTATAATGATCTTCTGGATCACTCTCTTCAGAACCTTTAAAAATTTTGCTAAGCCAACTGCCCCAACCCATAAGGCTTAACGTTATCTGCTCATAATCAATGAAGTTTTGGCCTACTCAAGGGACAAGTATTGAAGCAAAATAAAACCACAAAGAATCGAACAAAATTATTTTACAATGAATCATAAAAAATTCTCACAGCCAGCAACTTTCATTCTGATACAGAAGACTAAATTGCAGCTCCATAGCAAAATGACAGAATGGGAGAAAATAAAGACATGCTAATGTCACTAAATCAAACCAAAAAAACTTCCAAAAATGATAAAATCAGATTGTATTCCAAGCTGTCAACAGGAAAACAATAGTAGCATAAAGGCATAAAACTAGGCAGATAAACTATTCCTGGACTCAACAATAGGCCTTAAGCATATTTTCATCACAACCCTCAGTTCATTCATCTCAACATAGACAACCTAATCTAAAACAAATAATCTAAATTGAATTCACCTACCAGACATTGTAGATGCCCAACAAGATTGAACAACAAATGAATAGAAGATCATCAAAACCATTCTCCGACCCAAATAATTTATAAGAGACAGTGAGATAGACTGATGTTCTTTCCAGCTCAAGATGCCCATAGACTTGAAGACAGAAATTGTTTGTTGCAGGGTTTAAAGCAAAAAGTAAAGGTAAAGAATCAATTAGTGAAGAAATGACTCACCTTTACAGATCAATAACCTGTAGAAATCGTGGAAGCTGAGACCCAAGATCAGATAAGATCTCAAATAACCCAGAAGGCCACAATCACAGTTCAAAAAGATATGTATTCTCCTTCACATCCCTTTATCTCCTTTCTCTTTTGTGCGTAAATTAATAAACTATTGAGAATGAAGAAGAAGAACAAGGGAGACCCTTTATTTATTGCTCTCCAAAAAAAATCGAGCAAACATCAATTAAGAAAAAGAAGATAAACCTTCAGGAATAGGATCAAAGGAACCCAGGATCATTAAACAGGAAGAGAGATAGAAGACAGAGAGGCAAAGAATGAAGGGACGCTTGAATTGTAAGCAAAAATCCAAAGTCAATTCGTCAAACCCAATTGGGGAATTTGACACATTTCAGATTATATATATAGGGAGGGTAAAAACTGCATATAAGGTTCTCCAATCAATTCTTCCCCAAGAAGACCCCAAAAAAGCTTTCTTTGATTAAAGCAAAAAAGAGCTGTAAAAAAAGGGAATTTGACCCATGTCTTTAATTTCTGAAAAATATTTTACTATTTCCATTACTGCTCTATGCCACCGGCGTCCTCTGCACAGTGATGGGGCTGCTTGCGCCGGTGAAAACAAACATGGGTTTAAAGTGAAAAGGAGCAAAAACAGATAAAAAGTCGGAATTTTTTATTTTTTATTTTTTGGGTTAGTGGATCAAAGGAAAAAGTGGGAAAGAAACAGAGAGAGAGAATGAAGACTTTGGTAAAGATTCGAGTCCCAAAATCTAGCAGGTAAAAGGAAATTTAAAAGATTATACACCAGAGCCAAAATTAAAGAAAAAAAGATGGAAACTTTATCTTATAATTAGCAGAGCAGATCGTCTCTTTTCAATTTGATCCTAGATTTGAGCATGAGAAATTTACGCGGCATCACGAATTGGAAATTATAAGAATGGAAGTCGATTGGAACACTAAATTCAAGCAGTAAATATTTTCTCTAAATCTAGTCAAGACAAATTCAACGGAATAAATAAAAGGAAAATAATTTATTGATTGACAATAAAATTTTTTTTCTTTTATAACATGACCTGATATATAATTTATATTATTTTTTAAAATTTTGGTAAAATATGTAATATTATATATATTTATTATGTTATATTAATATTGTAACATTTAGTGTAAAAAAAATCAACTGTAAATAAAAAATATTGGGAAGTATTTAGTATTTATTTCTTGACAAGATTAAATGAGAATAAGAAAAAAAATTATTTTACAATTTGAACATTAAATTGAGGGGATAGCCCCTCCTTTCAATGATTTAAATGTACAATTTACTCTACTCAACATATTTTTGATAAGGAAATCATGCAAGTATCATTATCAATCTACAAATTAATCAAATTCATTTGGCTCCTTTATTATTATCTTGCATGTTTTTTTAATATTTCCTCATAAAAATGGGTACAAAATCTACATTCCATATTAAAAGATCCTAACGGATTTAAACGACATTTGAATGATTTATTATGATAATTTTAAGAATGACTTGGTGTGAGAAAATAATTTTAATTTTTTTTAAAACATATATTCTGGATTTAATAAAGAAATGTTTCTTAAAATTCCTTTTTAAAATGTCAAAATTATCTTTCCCATCTTTAAGCTAATGCACCTAAATCATGACTTCTCCACTAAAGAGATTTATCCTTTTATTTTCCTCTTATTTCCTTCTTTATTTAGATAATTACAAAAATAAAAAGAAATGAGAGTGTTGTGGTGGAGTTTATCCTAGAGAGATTGCACTATTTTTAATTATTAATGAGGAAATAAATTCTCAACATTAAGGGTTTTATTCTTTTATTGATAATTATAAAATATACAATATTACAATGTAAACTACATTTTAATTTTTTAAAAATTAAAAGTATTTTTAAAAAATTGAAAGAAAAATAAAATTTTTTAAAAAAATTCTATCACATAACCTTTTAATTTTTTGTAACCAAATAAAAGAATTGACTCCTTCAGTCCTTTGCCCTCTCCCCCATATTAAACATACCTCTAGGTAATAATAAAAATATAATTTAAAAATTTCTATGTTTTGCTCACGCATTCTTATTATGTTATTTCTTTCCATGTGAAAGTCACAAAAGGAAGAAGCAGTTGGAGGCTGCTGACAATAACATCCATCCACTACGTCAACAAAGATGGGCTCTCTTCGAAGTAGTATTTAATTTACTTTCAACTCCACTAAGTTATGTAGAATAATGATTGTGTTTGATAAAATTTTTAAAATTTTTTTTTTAAATAAATTTAAAATTTTATTGTAAGAAAATTTTAAAAATTAATTTTAAATAAATTTTAAGAAAATTATACATCAATTTTTAACTAAATTTTAAATTTATGAAAAAATAAACAAATACATTTTAAACTTTACAAAAACACCCTCATTATCCGGAGTCTGTAGTCCAGGTGGACGCTCCGCAACATATAGCTTCTACTGTTTAACTTTCAAAACTACCCTTCAAATTCCACTCAATTATGAGCTCAACTAGCACTAGCTGGTCCACATCGGTTGATAAAACTGCTAGGTGGACAAAATTGCAATTGACCTCGTTCTCGGCTAAGGTTTAAGTCGCCATGGCAAAATTGTAACCATTGATTTCCCCTATACCTGGCAAACACGTTGGATTAGGTAGGTTTGGATTATATCATTTTAAATTGG